AAGGCATAGTCCAAATTTCAAGCCGATACGATATATAGATCTCGAGATATATCACTTCAAAAATTATACCCGTGTAAGTGGGTATTGACATAACGGTTAAAACACGCTCACGTTAAAACTAAGCAAATGAAATCAACCAAATTCACTGAGAATCTTCATTGTTTTCCTAACTAGTTTGGTATTGCAAATCAGCAAAATCGGTTCACAACGTAAAAAATTATGAGTAAAAATTTTAGACTACCTCAAAAAAATTAAGTTTTTTTTCCCTAATTCTTGAGTAGTTTCCTCAGAAACTACCAAAGATAATTCGACAGATTTTATTACACATTATTTTTTCCATCTATAGATTAATTATGTTTAAAATTGTAACAATCGATCCAAAATTTCCCATAGCCCCCATACAAAGCTACATATTCCCGGAAATTAATTTATCGTAAATAACTTCCTCAAATATATCGGTATCAACACAAAATTTTGATATTATATGAACAGGAATCAAAACTACCGACTTAGATCTGTATCGGACCACAATTGGTCATAGCTCCCATATAAGGTCCACTTTAAAAAATCACTTAAATGAACATATTTTATTGATAAATAAAGCTATCGGGATAAAATTCGACATGAATATGTTTTGTATATACATAAATCATTCTACGAAATTTGTTCCGGATTGGTCCATAATCGGTCATAGCTCCATCCGAAAATCACTCAAATGCGCATAATTTATTGATTGATAAAGCTATCAGGGTAGAACTCGAGGTGAATATGTTTTGTATATAGATATAAATCATTCGGTGAAATTTTTCCCAGATCAGTCCACAATTGGTACTAGCTCCCATATAAGGTCAACATCCTAAAATCACTTAAACAAGCTTAATTCATTGATAAATAAAGCTATCGGGATAAAATTCGTCATGAATATGTTTTGTGTATAAATATTAATTACATTACGAATTTTTTTTCGGATCGGTACATAATTGGTCATAGCTCCCATATAAGGTCCACATCCGAAAATTACTTAAATACGCATAATTCATTGATAAATAAAGCTATCAGGGTAAAACTCGACGTGAATTTGTTTGTATATATGTATATATATATATATAAATCATTAGTGAAAATTTTCCACATCGGTCCATAATTGGTTACATTCCATATAAGGAATTTTTTCAGCATCGGTCCATAACTAGCTCCCATATAAGGTTCACTTCTGAAAACCACTTAATACCACATAATTTATTATTAAACTTGACATGAGTATGTTCTGTGTATAGATAAATCACTTTGATTATTATACCCTTCACCACCATGAGTGGTGATAGAGGGTATATATAACTTTATCATTCCGTGTGTAACACCAAGAAATATTCATCTGAGACCCAACAAAGTATATATATTCTTGGTCCTTATGAAATTCTGAGTCGATTAACTATGTCCGTCTGTCTGTGTAAAACACGTTCACGTAAAAACGAAGTGATATAAATTATTGAAATTTGGCCAGCATATTCCCTATTGTCCTATGGTATTGAAAATGAGCAAAATCGGTTCCCATCGGGAAAAGTTATGAATCAAAATTTAAAACAACTCAGAAAAAATGAGCATTTTTACACATTCTTATGCAATTTTCACGAAAAACTTTGCAATATAATTACATGAAAAATCATCACACATTTGTTTTTACACGAGAACTTTATTCTTCCTCCCATAACAAAAGTACATACAAAATGAGATTATTGTTAATAACTTCCTTCAGAATGTTGATATCTTCAAACAATTTTACAAATTAAAATTCTATGTCAATAGAATTCATATAGAGAAAATTTTTTCTGGATCGGTCCATAATTGGACATAGCTCCCATACAAGGTCCCCTCCCGAAAAGCACTTAAACGCACATAACTCATTACTAAATCAAGATATCCATATAAAATTTGGTACAAGTATTGCTCTTATATACAGAAATGTTACTGTGAATTTTTTTTTCCGATCGGTCCTTAATTGGCCATAGCTCCCATACAAGGCCCTCTTACGAAAATCTCTTAAGAGCCCACATTACTCATTACCAGGGCAAGCAAAAATATGCTCTAAAAAAAGTGTTTTATGCGCATAAAAAATGCTCTAAAAACTAAAAATATGCTCTAAAGATATACAAAATATGCACTTAAAATTTTCCCATTTTCCAAATGAAAACACCGTTTTTACCATTTTTGAGACCTTATAAAAGCGGGAAGAACCATTCATTTATAAAATCCGTTATGTTATCTGAAAGTCCAATCTGTACTGAAACATTTAACATAATTTTGAGCTCGAGAGGCCAATTCGAGGGGTACGGTTGTAGATCGATTTCAGCCCTTTTACACAAGCTTCATTCTTGTGTCATCAAAAAGTAATTTAACTATATGAATTTATTTTTAGGGAATGGGTTTAAAATTTTATTTACCCCATTATAACAACTTGGCAATAACTAAAGGTAGGATTTTATAATGCAGATAATTCATTTCTAGTCATTTGAATTGTACTTTAGTTAAAGGACATCGGTAAAGCACACGGAGACCTTTCCGCCAGCTTACCTTCCCGTATACATATAATAACGAGATACAAATTATCGGGGTTATAAAATCCTATCTTTAGTTATTCATTAATTTCCCAAAAAAATTTTTCAATCTGTTTTTATTTGAAAACAACATTATAAAAAAATATGCGATTATGAGTAAGATATGCGGAAATATGCTGTAAATTTAAAATATGCAAAAATATGCTGTAAAGAACAAAATATGCAAAATACGCTCTTACAAATCTATGCGAAAATTCGTTAAATTGTCTGAAATGGATAAATAGCCTACTTGCGTGTCCATATGACGCGCAGCAAAAAATATGATATTGCATATTTTTGGTTGCCCTGCTCATTACCAAATAAAGCTATTGTTACAAAATGTTGCACAAATATTAGTTAAGATTTTTTCAAGATCGGTTCATAATATGGGTGCGATCGGTCCCATACAAGGTTCCCTTAGGAAAATCTCTTAAACACACATTACTTATTACTAAATTACGATATATATACAAAATTTGACTGAAATATAGCTTCTATATACAGAAATGTTACTTAAAGATTTTTTACGATCGGTCCATAATTGGTCATATCCCCATACCGATCGGCTCTCATACAAGGTCCCCTCCCGAAAATCACTTTAACGCACATAACTCATTACTTAATTAAGATATCCATATAAAATTTGGTACAAGTATTGTTTTTATATACAGAAATGTTACTGTGAAATTTTTTTCCGATCGGTCGTTAATTGGTCATAGCTCCCATTCAAGGTCCTCTTACGAAAATCACTTAAACGCACATAACTCATTACTTAATTAAAATATCCATATAAAATTTGGTACAAGGTTCCCTTACGAAAATCTCTTAAACACACATTACTTATTACTAAATTACGATATATGTAGATACAAAATTTGACTGAAATATAGCTTCTATATACAGAAATGTTACTTTAAGATTTTTTACGATCGGTCTGTAATATCCCCATACTAGGTCCTGCCCGAGAATTTGAATTTCCTTAAATCTTTCACACAAATTATTAAATATCGTTAAAGCATATCTTAGGGCGCTTTAAAAATTTAAAAGAAATTAATTGTAACAGATTTAAGCTGTTTAAATCTTGGGGTTTTTCTATTTAAGACATGATAAATCTTATTTCTACAAATATTTGATCAATTAAAAAAGTATTAATATAAAAGTAGCTGGTGCCGAATATAGCACTCTTACTTATTTTTTTCACATATGAGCCTTTACATCCCACAAACTGACCACAAAGCTCTTAAAGGAAATGGTTCAAGCTTTCTTTTGAGTGAAGAAAATACAAAAAAATAAAAATGCCAAATATTGAAAAAAAAAAATTATTCCTGAGCTAAAAAATTATTTTTTGGAACTATAAAGCCCTTTAATGAAATTGTATAAGCTTTTTTTTAATCAAAACAAAAAAGGACCCATTTTGAAAAAAAAATAATTATTTAAAAAAAAAATCAAAAAATTTTTAAGAAATAGCTATCTGAACTCCTTTGGACAATTTGTGCTTTTATTTTGAAATTCCAAGTGGGCTAACTGTCACGCCCACTTACTAAATAAGTATTAAAAGTAGTATTTCTCAGAAACTGGGTAGAGTCCTCTAATTATGCACGAAGAACTTGACACATATTTGAATTCTGGGGGAAAATGGGAAAAACTAGCATCCCACGCCTATATTGCTAGCCAATACAAAGGACGTAAATTTGGAAACTATAACAGCTACAGTTCCCAAATTTTGTACGATAAACTACAGTGTCAATATACATAAAAAATTTGTGCAAATTGGGCGGATAAGAAATAGTGGTCGTGTCATCCCCCATATAAAGTTAGTATCAAAATTCGTATATCTGGAAAACTCGTATCCCTCGTGTCCCTCCCATTAGAATTAAATAAAAAATCGTATATCGGGGAAACTATTAGAGCTTTAATGCTCAAATTTTGTAAAAAAAATTGACATCCATGTTAGTATTTGCCTAATAAATTGGCGGTCACGGGGGCTTGATTTGCCCCCGTATCGGGGAAACTATTGGAGCTAGAATGCTCAAATTTTTCACGAACAGTTTTGACATTCATGTAAACAATTGTATAATAAATTGTGGGATAACGGGAGCGTGGTGAATTAAATACAAATCGTATATCTAGGAAACCATTATAGCTAAAATCCTCAAATTTCTTACATGCAATACCGAAAGCCATGTGAACAATTCGCGGAAAATAACCGGACTATGTAACAGGTTCCACTAGAACCTACCTTAGTTTTAATGTGTTTACTATGGCATTGAAATGTTGACAAAACAACTGTCTTTTGTTCGATGAATTTAATATCGTAAAGGGTTTTTTATTTATATTGTTTCTAGGGAAGCGAAGCACACTGGGTTATCTAGTAAATAATAAAAACAAAAAGTTCACTTTACTTACAGCATTGCAGGTATTGATATCTGTAATTTGGCCACTCTCTAAGAACTCCACCACTTTACTTAGTTCGCCACTGCGAGCAGCTCTTAAAAATGATATTGTAGCATCATTCTGAAATGTTAAAAATTTGTATATATTATTTTAAATTAAAAATTTATAATAATAGTTTTTTAAACTTTTCAGGGGACTGCCCAGAAATATATTTAACAATGATAAATTAATAGAGTTCGTCTAAAATTAAATGAAATTATTAATTATTATACCCGATTGATAGAATTTTATTATCAAACCGAAGCTTTCCGCATGAAATTCGGTTAGAAGATTTGAGTTCCTATAAAAGTTCTTAAATCAAGTTTCATAACTCTACAGTGTACACGTATTTTTAAGCCAAAAATGGTCGTTAAAGTAATTTTCTGAAAGGAACTCTATATGCGGGTAGGGTCAATTATGGACCGATCCTCAATAAATTTGGTAAAGAGATTTTAACTCATATAAAACTTATGTGTGTCGAATTTCATTTTCTGAAGAGGATCTTATATGGGGACCAATCATATGCCGAATGTCATAAAAGTCAGTAGAGAGGTTTTGGCTTATAAGAAACTTACTTATGTCGAATTTCATCTCAATACTCGCACTTTTAAGTCAGTAACGAGCGTTAGAATAATTTTCTGAAAGGAACCTTAAAGGGGGAAAGATAGGGTCAATTATAGATCCACATAAAATTTGGTTAAGAGATTTTGGCACGCAAGGAACTTACTTTAGTCGAATTTCATCGCTATACTTTTATTTTTAAGCCAGCAATGAGCGTTAAAGTAATTTTATGAAGGGAATCTTATAAGGGGAGTATACAAGTTGGTAGAGAGATTTTAGCTCGCGAGGAACTTACATGTGTCAAATTTTATCTCGTAATTTTTAACCAGTAATGAACGTTAAAGTAATTTTGTTAGTGTTTATAAACCGGTTAACCGAAAAACCGGTTTTTATTGCTTATTTCGGTTTTTCGCAAACCGGTCTTTTTAAAACATTGGTTTTCGGTTAACTGGGTTATGCGGTTTTTAAGTCTCGGTTAACCGGTTTCAAAAAAATCAAATTTTTAGTACAAAATTGTATATTTTCTTTGATTTTTTATTGTGATTTTTAAAAATTTTGGATAGATAATTCTAAACATTATTTTCCGTTTGTGCATATGAAGACAGACCAAAGATTGTTAAACAAATTTTAGGAAATGTTAAACATATATTATGTATATCAAATGGAGATTTCCAATTTCGGGCAATCAGGAAATTAGTAAAAAGTTGTCATTTAAACCAGAGGAGCTCAAGATTGCCATTTCATAGCACGCGTGATAGCGTAAGAAAATTCTGCTGACGCTAAGTTGATGTTGTATGTTGTTGTGTAATACATTATAGGTTTAATTTCTTCTTCTTTTTATAATGAGCAATATCAGTTGGTTTGCACTCAACTTGAAAAACAAAATCAAATCAGTTGCTGATCAGCACTTGTCGAAGTAAGGTTTGTGCGCGATTTTTTTACAATACACACAGAAATACTACAACAAAATTTTGAGAAAGCCGAATTAATGTAGGAGAACATGAGAGAACAGTTGATAGTTGTTTACATATAGACTTTGATATACGCTGGCTGTCAAAATCCATAATAAATATTTGACTGTTAGCATATACTTTATAGTTTGTAGTAATTTTATTAGTATACTTTTATTTTGAATTGAATTCTGTTCTCTGCTGCTTTACCAACATAAATAAAACTATGGTAGTATGTGTTTGAGCACCACTGATTTAAACCAATAAAAATTTAACTATTTCAACAAATTCCAATCATTATATGAAGAAATTTGTTATTTATTAAGACGAATAAATAACATTGATGATAAAATGCAGGATGCACTTACTTTTTTACTGCTTGAGTATAATAAAAATCGAGAAGTTTCTCAAACGTTCTCCAAACGGACTTTACTTATCGAAATATAAGGGTTGTTGTCGCTGTCCGAGAATTTATGCTGCTGGCGTTTTTAACAAACTGTAATGGCGCTTAGGTTGATTGACAGGAAGTCAGAATGTGCCGATCCTACCGATAACTTATATGGGAACTATGACCAATAATGGACTAATTCGAAAAAAAAAAATAATCAAAATGATTTATCTATACACAGAACACACTCATGTCGAGTTTAATAATAAATTATGTGTTATTAAGTGGTTTTCAGGAGTGAACCTTATATGGGAGCTAGTTATGGACCGATGCTGAAAAAATTCCTTATATGGAATGTAACCAATTATGGACCGATGTGGAAAATTTTCACGAATGATTTATATATACATATACGAAACAAATTCACGTCGGACCGATCCGAAAAAAAATTCGCAAAGTAAATAATATTTATACACAAAACATATTCATATCGAATTTAATTCCGATAGCTTTATCTATCATTGAATTAAGCTTGTTTAAGTGATTTTAGGGAGCTATGACCAATTGTGGACCGATACAGATCTAAGTCCGTAGTTTTGATTCCTGTTCAAATAATGTGAATTTGTACAAAATTTTGGGTTGATACCGATATATTTGAGGAAGTTATTAACGATAAATTAATTTCCGGGAATATGTAGCTTTGTATGGGGGCTATGGGAATATATATATATATATATATATATATTTGTTTGTTTGTATGTTTGAACGTTTTGCAGCTTTTTGTCGAGATACGAGTATATTATACTTAATTATGAAATTAAAAGCCATATTAGTCCGGTTCAGTTGTATGGGGGCTAGGTGAAATAATGGACCGATGTTAACCATTTTCAATACACTTCGTCTCCGGTGCCATAAAAGATCGTGTGCAAAATTTCATTGAATTATCCTCAAAATTGCGAGCTGTAGTTTGATTACAAGGTTTACAAGCCCTATTCTGGGGTTCGGTTGTATGGGGCTAGGTGAAATAATGGAACGCTGTTAACCATTTCCAATAGACTTCGTCTCTGGTACCATAGAAGATCGTGTGCCAAATTTCATTGAATTATCTTCAAAATTGCGAGCTGTAGTTTGATTACAAGGTTTACAAGCCCTATTCGGGGGTTCAGTTGTATTGGGGCTAGGTGAAATAATGGACCGATTGTAACCATTTTCAATGGGCTTCGTCCCTAGGACAATAGAAGATCATGTACCAAATTTCATTGAATTATCTTCAAAATTGCGACCTGTAGTTTGATTACAAGGATTACATGGACGGACGGGCATAGCTAAATCGACTCAGAAAATGATTCTAAGCCGATTGGTATACTTTAAGGTATATGAACAATATTATTGTGCGTTACAAACATCAGCACAAACCCAATATACCCTCCCCACTAAAGTGGTGTAGGGTATAAAAATATAAGCACACCAGAAGTTAAGAAACTATGGAGCGTTAATTGACATCCAAACAGGTAAAAACACCAAAAACAGGCTCCTGTCGCCATAAATAAGTCCTTAAGTGAATGGGCAGCCCGGAGAGCTCTTCGTAGAATTGGCCTTATATCAGGCGTAAAGCAGAAAACACCAGCGTTATCAGAAAAAAAAATGTGAAGGATCGTCTTAAATTTAGCAAGAAGCACAAAAATTGGAGTGTTAATGACTGGAAAAATGGTTATATGGTCCAGTGAAGGGTTATATGGTCCGATGAAACGAAGACTAATCGTTTTCAGTCTGATGGCAAGGAATATTACTGGCACCGCCCTTATGAAAGCTTAAAAAAGAACCAAGTAAAAGAAACGCTGAAACATGCGGGTGGTAATCTGATGCTGTGGGATTGTTTCACTTGGTAGAATCTCGGTTCTTTAGTAAAATTAGATGCTATAATGAAAAGGACGATTATTTGAGCATTTTCAATCCAATATTCCAGATTTTGTGGAAGAATGTGCATATCCAGAGTCAGAGGTTATGCTCCAACTTTCAGCGCAGAATTTTCAAACGATGCAATAGCCAACTCAATGCCCGGAAATCAATCCAATTGAAAATTTATGGGCTTTGTTAAAAAAACGTCTTGCGCAATTCGATAATGCACCTAGAAATCTTAAAGAACTTTGGTCGAGAGTACAAACGGAGTGGTCTAGTATTCCGCACCGGACCATTGAGACCTTAGTCAAAAGTACGCCTAAATGTATAAAAAGTGTCATAAAAGCAAAAGGACTTTACACAAAATATTAAAAATCAAAATTTTTTTAAAACGTTTAAACGTGCAAAACTGGATACTTCGACTTTATTTATAAATATGTTTTAATCTTTAGATGAATGAATTTAATTTTGTTTTCTTTTTATATTGTTTTACTGAATATTTTAAATTGAAAACTTAATTATTTTCCTTTATTTTATGGGTTTTATAGCATTTTTAAGTCTTATTGGCTAAACATGTACGCAGTTTTGCTCGCGACTGTATATATATATACTTTGTTGGGTCTCAGATGAATATTTTTTGGTGTTACACACGAAATGACAAACTTATTACCACTGATGGTGGTGGACGGTATAATGAAACAGAGTGTTTTAAAGGAGGAAAAGAGAATATGTTTTTTTATTATACCCTCCACGACCATGAGTGGTGATAGAGGGTATACATAAATTTGTCATTTCATGTGTAACACCAAGAAATATACATCTGAGACCCAACAAAGTATATATATTCTTGATCTTTATGTGTCTGTGTAAAACACGCTCACGTAAAAACGAAGGGAAAAATTGTTTAAAATTTGGCCCGAATATTCCCTATTCTCCTAGGCAGTTTGGTATTGAAAATGAGCAAAATCGGTTCACATCGGGAAAAGTTATGAAACGAAATTTAAAACAACTTAGAAAAAAATAAGCATTTTTTACACATTCTGGTGAAATGAAAACTATGCACTATAATTACATGAAAATAATCACACATTTGTTTTTACACGAGAACTTTATTCTTGTTGAAAATTGCCGGAATCAATCCATAATTTCTTATACCTCCCATACAAAAGTACATATTTCCGGAAAATTAGATTATTGTTAATAACTTCCGTCAGAATGTTGATATCTTCAAACAATTTTATGTATTAAATATCTATGTCAATAGAATTCATATAGCGAAAAAA